TCTCTGCTACTGAATGCAGCTGTGGTGTAACTATCTGCTGGAGCTTTCTTCCTTGGCTTCCTGAAATGATGACTATAACCTGAAATTGTAAGGCAAATAAACTATTTCTTCCACATTTTGCTTTTTGTCAGGATATTTTATCACCAAACTGAAACTAGACCAGAGAGATATGGATAAATCTTCCCTTTACGTAGTTTACTAAATACCCCTCTTAAAATTGTAGATAGTGACTGTATTAAATTCTTTACGACTATTGTGATAAAACTCCAAGATCGAAAGTGACTTAGGGAAAAAATGGTTTATTTGGCTTACAGGTTACATTCTATCATCAGGAAAAGCTATATCAGAAACAAGAGAAGAACCTGGTGGCAGGAACTCAAGCAGAGGCCATGGAGGAACACTGCTTCCTGGGTTGCTCCCCATAGATTGCTCCACCTGGTCTGCTTTCTTAATCCATCCAGGAGCACCTGACCACGAGCTCTCCTAGTGAATTGGACCCTCCTATATCAATAATTAATCATAAAATGCCCAACAAACTTACTTACAGGCCAAGCTAATGAAGGCATATTCTCAATTAAGGGTCCCTCTTCTGAGATATAGGAATAAAAAAAAAAAACTTGCTGGCACAGTATTCAGTTAGCTAAGCGACCCATCTGAAAATTTTTGCTTATTTTCCTCAAAATTATTTAGTGATTGATACAATTCAAATATAAGATAATTTGGTAGGTATGTAAAATATCTTTTCCCATGAACAAAGAGAGGAGAATATGAGTTGCTCACAGTGTGTAGAACAGCAGTGAAGTTATTTTGCTAAGGCAGTTGTGGTTAAACCATATGCACTTCCAATTGAATTCTGTTGGTGCAACAGAACAATCTGTCAGAGTTCTTGTCACTTTAAGCTATGATCATAATAAAAACTGCACAGTTGCTACTGTGGGATAGTAATCAAATCTAGAGAAAGAAAAAACGTTCCCTAGGTTACTCCTGTGCACTCTGAGTTTATATTTTTTTAAGCAGAGTTTTGCTTGTTGTGGCTTTGAATGTTTCCTCATTAGAAGGAGTACATCATGATTTTTCCAGTTTATAGTTACATCGTACATGTCTATAGATCATGCAAACACTATTGTTATTGAATTATTTTCCTTAACATTTCTAAAAATTCCAGTGCTTAGATGTTCACTGTGATGAAGATCAAAATGCAAAATATCATCTAGATGAAAATTGAGCACAAACCCAAACTAATGTATTCAAGATCTCTTAGTACTATGTTCTCGGTGTGCTCTATGCAGATGTACATATATGTGTGTGATGTATATCCTTGTGTACATGTGTCAAGTTCAGAGGTCAATGTGGGGTGCCCTTTTCCTTTTTCACAGCTTTCTAATCTGTTTTATGAGAAAGGTTTTCTCACTTAATATTTAGTCTGATTTTACTAGGCCTGTCTGCTTCCCCAGCATGCTAATTTAATTATAGTTTCAAGCTGCCACTATCAGCTTCTATGTGAGGTCTTGGATTCGAAACTGGTTCCTCGTGCATGCTTGCTTTATCTATTATGCCATATCCCCAGTCATCAATGTGAAGTTCTTAGGATTTGGGATCCTGAACAATCCATAATATGAAGAAAATATAAAACTGAGTAATTTAGACGCTATTTTCCCTAGTGTTATGGCAATAGTTATTTCTAGGAAAAATTATAACTATGTAGGCATCGCTTCTTAATTTCTTACTGACTGTGCCATGAAGATTGCATTATCACCCAAGTGCTCAACTGTAGAAAAATGAGTGTTAGTGATTTTTATTGCCTAACAATTATATATAATTATTCTAACAGTTATCAGTGAAATCTCTGTCATTAGATATTTGAGGATTTTAGAAAGCTCACTCATACATATGCTTCTTTCTTAAATAATCATAACTTTATTTTCGTGAGTCTTAGCATTAGAACATAATTCAAATGCTTGGAAGTTTTGTTAGTTTTCTTTTGCTAATGGTTCTCCCCTACCTTAGCATAAAGTGTAAGATTGCTCAGCCTCTGGCTTATCAATGCGGTGAACTGGATTAGTTCCCAGTTTAGAGATAGAGTTTGCATAATTTGAGGCTGGGGAGATGGCTCAGTGAGGAAAGAGCTCCCGCTCAAGCCTAAGGAACTGAATTCAGACCCTTGAAACCTACATAAAGAAACAAGCATGGTGGTGAGCATCAATAATCCTAGCACTTTGGCATGGAGACACACTGAGCTGCAGAACTCTAAGGCCAGCCAATGTAACACTGGGTGAGCTCAAGAAGAGACATCATCTTAAAAATAAGGCAGAGGCCCATGCAATACAATACTGGACTTTGATCTCTGACCCACACTTACATGCACACTTGCACACACACACAGATACTCGTGTATGTACTATAGACACATACAGATGCACACAAATATAAACTAATTTTATAGTTAATTAATACTGCATCTTTCTTATGCCTATGTATGTGAAATGGTATAATACTAATAACATAGAGAAATCACGTGTCACTATGATTATAACCACTCACAGTTGATATACATACAGGTACATATGAAACCCACTAATATTTATATTTTAACCAATATACATATTTGATGTTTCTTACAACTATTATATATATAGTAAAATAATTATGTGCATTGAGTCTCTAATGGATATGTAAGATTTGGATGGTGTTTGATATTATCCAAATATTATCAACATTTCAGTTTAAATGTCCATAACACACATAATTAATACTTTCTCATTTCCCTTGTTAAATATGTCTTGACGCGGTTTAACACTTGTCATAATTGTATTCACATAATCAGATATGTCTCTATGCTCAGTTTGATGAAATAAAAGGCAAAGAAAGCCCTTAAGCAATGCTGAGATTGACATTTGTAGTTTTGTTGTTTGAATGCCAGTGTTTCCACCTATTTCATTTGACCTAGATTAACAGGGTAGGGCACTTCCGTCTTGAATGGGTACAGTAATCTTTATTAATGTATTCAGTCTTGAAAAAGAACCAGATTCTCTTAGCCCTTTAGATTGGCCAGCCCTTCAAAACACCCTGGAGACTTTCCTTCATATTTGCGCATCATTTGGTCCATCTTCTACCACCCTCCTCCCTCATTTCCAGGCACTTCCTATGAGTCCTGAACAACGGTATCCTCATCTGCTCATAGACTCTGTCTATCTGCATTAAGTCTAGTGACAGTAACGTCACACACACAAAGGACTACACTCCTTCTAACTCATGCAAATAGATTTATCATAGATCATATTTCTTCCAGGGACTTCATCATAATTTAGCTAAGTGAATTAATTCACTTTCACCAAATATTTATGATTAGTAATAGTTAAGTCTGATAATGGCATATTTCTTATTTAAATGTAAATAATGAATAATTAAAACTTTAAATGCTGCAGCAGGCAGGGGAAATGAAATTGAATTTTAAAGTCCTTGTGCTTTCCTGAAGGCTGCTTCCACATGTCCATTTTCCTCACCTGTTGTTTTGATATTAATCTGCTGTGAGACAACAGATGCTGATATCAGCTCAGGCAAGGGGAGCAAATAGGCAAGAGTTGCATCTCCAGGACCCCACCACACACTTGTCCTTTCAGCCCTGAGGCAGTGGGAGTGCTGTCAGCATGGTAACTAGCAGTCCTTGCTGCCATCACCGTTGACACATGATGTAAAAATGATTGATATGTTATCTGGGTTCTAACTGATTCCATTTTGGAGGCTAATGGTGTTGGTGAAGGCCACAATACTGGTTCCTTTCAGCACGGGATCGAGTTCTGTGCTTCTCCAGCATGTTACAACATGGAATTGCACACTTCTAGGACACATTGACAGGCTGGAGTACTATGACTTTGGGGTGTGCTGACAGAATGAATTTCTATCTCTCTCTCAGAAACATTCATAGAACTAAGTTCCTTACTTCTCCAGTATGGTCCCTGACAGAGTTACTAACTTCTCAAGGAAATTTACTTTCCTTTATACCCACAGATGGCCTACCACCATGTTGTTCATTCATCCCCAGCTCTTCTGCAGAACACATTATTTAAGTTGAAAAGTTTCCTATACTTTTTTCTCTATGGTAAAATTCACAATTGAGTACCGGGATGAAGTAGAGACTAAACTAAACACCGACCTGGGATCCTGGACACGCCACTCAAGGCTCTTAGCTATTTCTGAAAATAGAACTCAGGGCACTAGACAACTACTTCCTGCCTATACTACACAGATTCATTTTCCCTAATTCTTTTATTTTTCCTTTTATTTTTATCCTTTCATTATGTCCTGACCAGAGTTTCCCCTCCCTCCTCTTCCCTGCTGTCTCCGTGAACCACCTCTCCTTTCCTCCAGATCCATACCTCCTCTGTTTCCCCTCAGAGAAGAGCAGCACCCCTGGGAAATCAACCAAACACAGCAGGACAACTACAATAAGACCAGGCACACAACATCACATCAAGGCTAGACAAGGCAACAGAGTGGGAGGAAAAGGGTCCCACAATCAGGCAAAAGAGTCAGAGACTGCCCACTTTTAGGAATCCCACAAGAACATCAAGCTACTCAGGTATAACTCATATATGGATGACCTAGGCCAGACCCTACAGATCACTGATCTCTGTAAGCCCCCAAGAGTCCCAGTCAATTGATTCTGTGGACTGTGTTCTCATGGTGCCCCTGATTCCTCCGATATCTGTAATCTTTCCTTCTTCCTCGTCTTCCTCCATGAGACTCCCTGCACTGCATCCTAATGTTTGGCTGTGGTACTCTGCATCTGCCCCCATCAGCTGCTGGAAGTCTCTCTGGTCTCTTTGATGATGATTTGGCTGTGTTCCAGTCCAAGAATACTCAGCAAACAGAAAACACTCTAGGTTTGATGTTTTTGTGACTAGTTTGGTACAAAGATCTCCCTGGGAAGAAAATAGAACAGACTTAGTGGGTGGACTGCAGGTGGGTGGGGTTAAGAACAAGAAGAATCAGGTTGGAAAATGGAGAAAATACTGGAGGAGACAACGGGAATTGGGGAACATGTGGGGGATGAGGTGGAAACCTTGTGCAAAGAAAATTCCATGGAATCTACGAGAGTAACCCTAGCAAAGATTCCTAGTAATGGGGACATGGAGTCCGAATCAGTCATTTCTTGTAACTAGGCCAGGCCTCAAGTGGAGGGATTGAAAAAGAAACTAATTTTTCCCTAATTTAAATATACTTATCCCTCATTCATTCATAAACAACAAAGACGAAACTACTAACAGATAATTATAAAATGTAATAATAGAAAACATACAAATTAATGATACTGATAAATATTGTAGATGCTATCTACAAATTAGAAATAAAAATAATAACCATGATTTGTTTAGACTATCACTACCACCATCCTTTTTATATCTTCTCATATGTAACGATGCATGACATTCCTTTGTTCTATTTCCCATTGCCTCTCAGGATCAGTTGAGAGAGAAATGGCTAGATTCAAATGGTCAATTGCTACAAAGATTTTTAGTCGTTTTCTGCTGATTATTTTCATTTCCCAGACAAAATTATTCAGAAATTCTTTGAATTATAATTTATACCAAAGGAGAGACTAGATTTTTCAATGAAGTTAATCAGTAGTGGGTAATAACCAATATTTTAGGAAGCACTGGGTTCACCAGTTCTTTGTTGAGGTCATGGACTAGTTTCCATCTCTGGGTGCATTTTCTTGAATTTGGTACAACTTGGTTTGCCTTTATAAGGATTAAGGTCGGGTCAGTTTGATGGCAAGCTTTTGGATTTGGGGGTCAAAAAATAGTAAAATTTCAGATTAGTTTACATGTTTTGTTGCAAATATGTACTCCTTATTTGGAGAACTTATATACCTTAGAGAACCCTGAATGCAATATGTCTCTGAAAACTGTAAGGCAGCTTGTCACCACTCTGACTATGTCTTACATGGTTGTTAATTATATATGATAGAGAAATAGTTCACTTCGATGACAGTGTCTTGTAATTCTTAAAAGCAAATGAATTTCCTTCATGCCTTCCTCCCATATACTTCCACAAGTAATAAGTACATGAATAAATACATAGAGGACGGTTTGTTCTCCTCACATCTCTGTCTAAAGAGATTTCATTTCTGTTTGTTATTGAAATACCATGAGCTTCAAACCTTTAGTCTCCTGACCTCCTGTGGTGGTCTCATAACACAGTCAGGATACACACACTACGGCAAACAGCAATGAGCTACAGTATTTACTAGAGGCAGTGGCTGAATTTTCTGGGTAACTTAACTTTGAATTAATTCAGTCACATTCAGAGACTTTTTTTTTATTTCAGACAATTTACTGCAGGCGGCATACCTCATGGCAAGGCCAAAATTCATGATTTCTAGATGGCGTAATTTGTCTCCCATAACAATTCTCTACTTTGTAGTGCTTTTGATTGGAGCAATTTCTCTTTCTAGTGTGGGTAGGAAAAGACTAACCACTTCTGCCTTAATTTTCTGTGCATTTCATGTTGTAGTTTTTATGTAGAAGGCAGTAGAAATCAATAAAACTAAGACATAAAAACGTAGAAACATCATTGAGAAGCATATACCCCAACAAGAAATGTCTGCCAGAATCGGGGAAGTGTAATAGTGACATTTAGTTATTGAACTAGAAGAAATATCTGTGCCTTTAAAACCAAAAACAGCTGCTTCTTCTCGTCCTGACGACTGGTGCTGATGATTGGTCAGCCCTTCGTCTGCAATGCACCAATCATTGGTTCTATCTCAGGATTAAGGCCACGCTATTCCACAATGTATTTATGGAACCTGATGAAGTGTATTTAGGATCTATCTGCCCTGTGACCACCGTCTGGCCAAATGATGTCTATGACTTTACCTACCGTACTTACGCCTGCGGTATTGTCAATAAAGTTCTTTATGATGTCACTCTGCTTCAGACACACCTTGCATATATCCCAAAAAACTCTAGTAATAACCGAACTGACATGCACCTGTCCTGTGTTCTACATAGTCGGTATCCTCTTTTCTGTGAAGCTGAGAGTAAAGGGGACTTCACTGGCAACCCTCCTGAGTGGGAAGTAGACATGACGGTACGCAAGAAAGATAAGGCTGCTCCTGCAGTGCCGCTAAACTTTTCAACATCAGGTCAAAACACCAACCGGGTGTCGCAGGAGCCTCAGAGCTTGGGAACCAGCAGGCATCAGCATGCTGAGGCATCTAACTGAGTGGATTAGAGTTTTGCTCTCTCCATTTCTTCAGAATGCAGATGGTTACAGGATGACTTCTCTCATCCATTTTTAAAAAGTGACTGATTTGCAGTTTTAAATAAAATGGCATGCTACCTTCATATATTCTCATTTTAAAAATCTGTCCCTGATTTTAGCTTTATCAAATCTGATTAATCAATAAAAATTTCTATTAAAGCCGCTTCTAAAAATAAAAAATAAAAAAAAACAAAACAAAACAAACAAACAGTGGTACTACCTGTGTAAGGATGCCACTCTTCTTCTGTAACAGAGCAGTGGTAAGCGTTGACAGTACGCTACAGTGAACAAGTCTTGAAGCATCATTGTTTTCTTCCAAGTAGCCTTTGATAGCAAGACACTCTGTTGGTGAGCTCTGGTGCCTGGAAAAGGAGAGACAGCGTGAGGGTACATTATGGACAATGTCACAGACAGCAAGGACAAAGCTTTCTTTTTTATTTATTATAATTTCATTTTACATCCCAGTCACAGCTCTCCCTCCCACCCCTCCTCCTGCCCCCTTTTCCTTTCCCCAGCTCACTACCCATCTACTCCTCCCAAATGGTAAGGGCTTCCGTGGGTCAACAAAGCCCAGCCCATTAAGTTGAGGTAGGACCAAGCCTATCCCTGCTGCATTAAGCCTGAGCATGGCATCCCACCATAGGGAATGGGGTCTGATAAGTTAACTAATGAGGACAAAGCTTTCTGCAGGTGCATCTGCTTCAACCTTGGAGTGATGGTTAGGGCAATGGCCCCTGACCCAATTGCATCTTCCCTGGAGTTGGACCACTTTGTGTTCGGTTTAAACAAGGCATAATACCTATTTAGGGGAAAGATTTAGGAGGGTTTCTACAGTTTGCTCGCCTTCTCTGAGGAAGTAAAATCACTTTACAATGTGATTATTTCTATTGGGGGAAGGGTCGCTGCTTGTTCATCCTGACCACCCAGCCATAAAATAACCACTCAGAAAACTGTATTAATTAAACGACTGCTTGGCCCATTAGCTCTAGCTTTTTATTGGCCATCTCTTACATATTAATTTATCCCATTCCTATTAATCTGTGTATCACCACGTGGCTGTGGCTTACAGGCTAAAGTTCCAACCAGCATCTGTTTCCGGCAGCTACACGGTGTCTCTCTCCACCTTCCTTCTCCCAGCATTCAGTCCAGTTTTTCCATGCCTACTTATGTTCTGCTTTATCAACAGGCCCAGGCAGTTTCTTTAGTCATTAACCAATAAAAGCAACACATAGACAGAAGGATCTCCCACATCACTTTACAATGTGATCATTACATAAAAATATTTGAAGTAATGTTTTTAACATTTTATATGCTATGGAATTGGAAATGAACAGTTACTGGTCTTTGTTTCTAGTATGATTAAAGGGAAAACCAACTTATTTGTTACAATGAAACTCTAATGCTTTCTAATCCCAGTTAATCCTTTTGATTTAGTGGGTGCATTTGAAGGGTTTTGCAAGGTGAGACTATTTATTTTCCAAGTGTACTCTCCTTCCCTGACTATGGAAAGGCCTGGATACTTGTTCTGACCTGAGTGACACGAACACTGAGTTCTTAGTCTTTCATTTCCTGTGACGAGATTTTTCTGTCACCAAAATTGTTCATTTTCACATAGCACTGATGTATTCATAAACCCCTCCTTAAATGTGGGTACTGGGATGGAAAAATAGACTGGGTTTCAGTTTTGTGAATTATAATATTGTGTCATAGCATTATGCCAATCTTTTACAACATCAAAATGCAAAAAAGACAATAAATTAGTGAAGAAACTTTTCTTATATGAAATTGAAAATATATAAAGGTAGACCAGGAATGTAGCTTACTAAATTGTTATATGGTTAATATCATCTTGAGGGCACCATAGAGCATCACGGAGCATAGGGCAAATATTTGCTTTGCAACAGTAGAATCCCATTCTCACACCCAGTTGACTGAACACTCAAATTCTAGACAAAATGGTGGGCAACAGTAATGACTGGGGTATTGCTGTCAACTTTATGTAATTCTCTACTGAAAACCTTTTAGAACTTACCTTTATTTGTTTAGTTCTGAGGATGGAATCGAGGCCTAACACATGCTAGGCAAGTGCTCTACTGAGCTCTAACTGGTAAGCATATGCTTTTAAAAAAATCTCCTCAATGCTGGAAACAAGTCCAATATCTGTAGTTACAGGAGTATGTGTTAAATTCTGTGATTAAATAAAGAGAACTCCATGACTTTGGGTAATGTTATAACTGTCAGGGAAATTAAATACCCATTAACTCAAAATTTTTCTTCATTTAAAAACTAGTTCAGGCTTTTGTTTTTTCTTATTTCTTATTTTCTATTGTTGGTTTTATTTTTATTTGTCTATTCATGTGGTCAGTGGCGCTGAAGAAGTCATAAGATCCAGAGCAGCCTTTGTTCTGGAGTGAATTTTGAATGAAAATGCTGTAACTGATGGTCTGTGCTATGTGGTGGGGGAACGACTTGGTTATCAATGCATAAAGAGCAGGAACTCTTCAGTCACACTGCAGGGATGCTGATTCTAACTCACACCATCTGAGTAGTACCAGACTGATTGGTTCTCTTTCCTTTCTTCACCTTTCATCTAGAAATGAAAATAATTATACTTCGCTCTCATGACCACTAGAAGAGTAAAATTAAATGAAATGATCATAGGCACTTAGTAGTGTCTGGCATAGAGTAAGTGCTCAAAGAATATTGACTAACGGAGTCAGTTGTGAGATTGTCTTCAGCCCTCAACGACACAGTGCTCAAAGGACAGGACCTAGCACATTTTGGTCCTTAAGGAACTTTAAGGGACTTCTGCCATAGCTGTTCATTTTGGCGGGTTCCCACATAAATTGCTTTGTAATTTCATTGTGTCACTCAGAGGTCTAAAGTTCCCAGATACTAAGTCCCCCAAACATAATCTCTACAGAAACCTAAACTGTCTACCATTCTGTCACTTGAGAAAAATTCCTTTCCCTTTCCGAGACTAACACACGCTTAGTAAAATAAAGATGAGTCACTGGGGGGGGGGGGTTAGAAAACAACCTGGAATTTATTCATGAGAATTTAGAATACAGCCTGGAATTTATTCCAAGATTCCTCGGGAGAACATGATTTGAACTCTTGATTTCATACATGGGCAAAGAGTGCTGACTTGGAATGTGTGTGTGGTGGGGGTGGGGAGGTGGGAGATGTGTGTGCATGTGTATGTGTATGCAAGCTGAGAATCCATGTGGTTTGGAACTGAACTGAACTTTTACAGAAGTTACAGGATCTTATTATTCTTTCAGTATAGCTATAGTTCTTAAATTAAATGTGTCATTTTTACCACCTTAGCATGGTATAAATAGAACATGCAGAGAAATGCTACAATGGGGAATAATAATAAGGTGTTTTTCATATTTAGATTAATGTTTAAACCTTATACTTGCTGATTAGTAGGAGTATTAATTATACTGAATGTGATATTTCTCTTGTATAGTTTTCCATTTTATATATTTTTCAATAGTATTTTTTATTCTTTGAAAACATCATTCATACTTTTCATTCTTTGAAAATGTCATACATTTATATAACATTTTAAAGTTATATCTGCCGTGTCCTCCCTCCTACTTCCCTAGTGTTCTCCCAATTCCAGAAAGTAATCTTAATAATTAATAACAGGTTATTAATAAATGAACCCAATTCGTGTTTCCCATATGTACAGAGGTGTGTGGCCTTCCACGTGAACATTAGTAATGTAACAAAGGTCATGTCCTCAAAAAAACAGTGACTCCCCCACGGCTCAGCAGCCATCCCAGTAATCACCTGTGCGTAGCTGCTCCACTGGAAGAAGGCCTCAGAGTCCCTACTCCATCTGTGCTGAGAATTTGTCTCCTTGATTTTGCTCAGGTCTTGGGTAGACAACCAGCGTTTCTGTGAGTTATGTGTGCAGTAGCCACAGGCATGATTGTAAACCCCTCTGAGAACACCTAGCACTCAGGCTGGGACCTGGCAAGTGAACCAGCTTTCCTTGGCTTTCTTCCAGCATCTCTACACTTAGGTGTGATTAATTATGTCTAGTCTTTTCTACTCAATTCGTCCTGCATATATCACCTTGTATGTTTTAACCCTTATTTACTTTTATTTCATGATAAATTTGGACACCCTGTATCTTCCAAATCTATTTTGATTGGATAGAATAGGCAGTGGATTATTGATTTTTATTTTTAAAAGTTTAACTTAAAACTGCATTAATTATGAACACTAGCATTCAACCAGGTTTCATTTCTGAAATTTCTATTAGCTTGAAATAAATGTACCCCAAAACTCTAACATTGAAAGCCCTCTGAGTAGCTGATTTATAATGAACTTCCCAGTTGTACTGTGAGTCTGTTTATTTTTCTTCAATAAAGTGTTTTCTTACATCCACATTTACCATTTTATTTATTTTTAAAATCTCCAGTTCAATCATGGAAGTCTTACGTCTTAAAAATGATTTTAAGAACTGAAATTTAATAGTGGAACTTTCTGATGAAGGGCACTCATACCGTTGTGTTCTCTGTTTCAAGGGCTATGAAACCAGGCTTGAATCCATATTTTCACAGCATTAGCTTCTATTCACTACCCATGAGAACAGCTTGCCTGTCCCAGACCTTGCTTGGGATGTGCCGATCACCACTCGATCCTTAATGACCGCTCACCTTTGTGTTAGCATGTACTCTCTCTGTACAGGTGACTAGTTCTCAAACATAATCTTCTTTTAGGAAACATTTGTCACTTTTTCTAGAAAGACAATTGCCCAACTGAATTCTTGATATTCTATCTTTTGTTTTGTTTTCTTTTCTTTTTTTTAACCTTTTTGTTGATTCTTTGTGGATTTCACAATTTCACATCATGGATTTCAATCCACTCATTTCTCTATCCTTTCCTCTTAAGACTAAAACAAAATAAAACTTTAAGAAAAAAAAACTCACTGTGGAAGCAGT